TTTTTTTTTTTTTTCTTTTTCAACAGGATGTATTACGCGTGTGAGAGAGAAGAAAGAAAAACTCGGTAGAATAGAATTGGTGGAATCGTTAAGTGTCTGTTGGAAACAGGAGGGTGAGAGAATGCATTCGTTTTCTGCATTCGTCCAAAAGGCGACGCGCAACGCGGGCGTATGAAACGGCCCTTCTGCCACCGCCATACACCATACGCTATTAATATCATAGGGTATATTTAGATTTCATTGGGGAAGAGAGAGCGAGATCACGAGTTGCTCGGCCGATACGCCGTCTGTAAAGTGCGCGAGACCCCGCCAATGAATCGCAATAAAGGAATTCGCTTCTTTGTCGATACGATACGATCTCGAGATTCTTTTTCTTTTTTTTTTTTTTTAATTGGAGAAAAAAAAGGAAACAAACAAAGAGCCTCCAAAAATCTTTACGCTCATATATTCGTTATACGTTCGTTCGTTTCCTTTACAAGTTATATCGTTTCGATTATGGATTATTGTAAATATGCCAATGGAAATACAATAAGAAAATGTATGGGAAAATTCGACGATGATTGAACGAGTGAATAAAAAATTGTATCGCACATTGGCATAATTGTAACGTAGTGGAAAACTTGTTATCTAGCACGATATCGGCCCTAGATTTTGTGTGCAAAGTATGTATATCGTAATCGTTGTCTCTGTCGATGAACCTCGACGAATGGAACGGGTCGAGGATCGGGACGCATTATTTTTAGATTTCCGAACCGTACCTAACGAAACATCTTTTTCTGCTTCATATTTATAATTATCGCGAGCAAAGTTTTCATCTGCGACATCCTGTTTCACGAATCTCGCCTTTTTCCCCTCTTTTCCCTCGCGCATTGCTCGGGGAATCGTGACAACACGTGACTGGCAAACGTTTCGTCATTTCGCGGATGCGCACCTTTTTCCGTGAACGAATCTTTAGTTCAATTTAATTAATAAAAAACTCCTCTAATCCTTTCTTTCAATTAACTCGCGTTTCTTCGAATGGAATTTTAAAGAGAAATCCGAGATATGAAGGACGTTACTTTAGGACGAATATCTCCCAAGATTATAAAAGATTTATTTACGTCCGCACGTCGCCTTTTGGACGAATGCAGAAAACGATTACAAAAGATTTCCACGAAATGCGAGAGTTGGCAATTTTTCGACGATAAATTTTAATCGATTAAGATCGATTCTCTCGGGGACGTTCGTTTAAAAGAAAAAGTTTTCTTATCGAAAACTAGAATCGTAAACCTATATAAAGATATTTGGCTTAAAGGCCCATTAGGACGGCGGTCTAATATCCTGGCAACACGTGACACGCTACTACCTCGTATGGAACACTCGGTGGATATTAAGGACGAGGTATATAGGACCGTGACGAAATAGGAACACGAACGGAAAGTTTGGCCGTCGTCGGTTCGTCGATCGGGGCCGGCGTGTCATCCGATCGCCTACTATTTCCAATACACATTTTCCCGTAAAATTTAAAACGACTACATAAATTACACGTAAAATCTACGAGATCGATCGTGCTAAAGCGATATTTTCCGAGGAAGAAGAAGAAGAAGAAAAAGGAAAGAAAAAAAAATGGAGCTCGTGAAACGAAACGATCGAACGGATTAGAGTTAACGAATGTTCATACTTTTATTTCATTAGTGACGTAACGCCAATTAGTTTTAGCAAGAAAATTATCCTAATTGAACGGTTAATAATAAAATGCATCAACATTCTCTACTCTGCTATTAATTTCGTAATATTATTTCTAATTATCCTTATTCTCTAACAATTCCCCGTTACAAAGAAATTTCTAGAAAAAAGAAAATGTCCGACTTAAATAATATTAAATAAATTGGAATAAAATTTCAAGTTCGTAATAAAATTTGCATCGAAAGAAAAATCCAGCGCGCACAGCTTCGTAATCCACCCTTCGTTTTTAACTCCAACAAGTTATTCCACGCGATCATTTCTACATCATCCACACCACAAACGATGCGTTTAAACGCGACGAGCTACCGACGGGTTGCCCACGAAACGAACTCGCAGGAGTCGTTGGCGCCCCCATCACCGGGCCGGCCTACTACGAAACTAATCTGGGAGCCGGTGGTCGCCATCGGAAGGCGGAAGGGATCCAGGTGGTCGGGAAACAATATCGCGCGATATTGCTGACGCGTCGCGGAATATATTAGATCCGGTCCAATTACAATGTCCCGATACGTTCTATCCCTACGTAAG